ACTCCCCCTGCTTGTGTTCCCTCTCTCGCTGTGTCTCTTTCTGTCAAATAAATAAATAAAATCTTAAAAAAAAAAAAAAGGAAACTTTGCTTCTCACAAGGGGAATGCCCAAAAGGGAAACGGGAGGGAGGCAACTATTTTCAGTATAGCATTTTTGTTACCATCTCTGTCCTGTGCTATGTATATGCATTACCTATTCAAAAGAAATAGTTAAAATTTTCCCCAAAAGAAGGAAAGTATGAAGGTGACATGCCCATGACTTTTTTGTTTCAGTTCAGAGGTCCAAGTAAGACATGTCTTCTCCCTTAGGTGCCAAATTCCCCATTAAGTGGACAGCACCAGAAGCAATCAACTTCGGATGTTTCACGATTAAGTCTGATGTGTGGTCCTTTGGAATTCTCCTGTATGAAATCGTCACCTATGGGAAAATTCCCTACCCAGGTACCGTTTCCTTACCTATTTCCATTCAAGCGGTCTGTATGAGAAAAAAAAAGCCAAATGGCAGGACGCATAAAAACATAAATCCATATCCAAAAGCTAAGAATAAGCCCTTTTCCAAATGACTATCTTGAGTGGAAGGTGTTCTAAAAATGCTTAGACACTTCTCTGCCTTCTTATTTGATCGAATGCATCTCCTTTGTTTTCTCCCCCTAACGAATTCCTGGCACCTCTCAGTGCCTGGAAGGTGCCTGGCACCGTCGTAGGTGTTGCAGATACGAGGACGGAGTAGAAGGCTAGACACGGGTGCTCTCCTAAGCAGTGCACCTGACTGAGAAGGAAACAGACACAGAAATGAGGAATCGTAATGCTTTAGGGTTAGTTTTGAAACAGAGATTTGTATGAAGTACTTCGGAGCCTCTGTCTCTTTGGGAAATAACCTCCTCTGTTTATCAGTGAAAGGTCTTTCCGACCTGTAACTTACCGAATGTGAGGACATCCATTCGGTGTCTCTCGGTTCCTAACACCGAAAGCCCTTGGAGCCGGATTGCACCAGTCTTCCCTTTAACCGGGACCCATGCCTGAATATGCAAGGAGGATTTCTCCCAAAGCCTTCACATTAATGTTAGGCTTTTTACAAAATCAATGGATATGATGAATTTAAAATTGAATCTTTAATGGTTAAATCATTCCCTCATTTGAAAAATATCTGAGGGTGCCGGGTACCCCTGAGGGGCCCCAATGCAGCAGTCACAGCTCCTGCCTTTGAGAGCTGTATTCTGGTAGGAAGAGACTGATAACAGTGAGGCGACAGTCTGTCAGATGGCACAGTGCCCTATGGAGTGGGTTAAAGATTGTTGAGGAGGAAGAGGGCTGCTGGTTTTACACTATGATCCTGGTAGCAGCAGGTATGAGGAGGGAGCCACAGGGCCGTCGGGGGGGGCGCTGAGCGTCCCTTAGAGAAAACAGCCACTATATGGGATCCCGAGGCCCCATGGTTTGGGTCTCAGTGAAAATTTGCTGGATGAATGAATGGACGTGCTCAAGCCATTTAACATCTAGATAGACACCATGCTGTGGATGAGAAAAACTTGTGGACAGAGCCACAGTGTGGCCTTCATGCTCCTGATCACCCTCAGTGCTGTTTGGGGGAAGAGTCATAGGGAAGTCGGGGACCAGGGCCAGCGGGGAGAGGGGAGAGTTTTCGGATGGCGCCTACACAGTGGGCTGACTGTCCCTTGAAATCCCCCTTGTGCCAACACTTCATATCTGACTGCCACTCTGCTCTAGATGCTGAAGTGAATGAGAACATTAGGGGAAAATAGGGAAAAAGAAATATTTTCTTGATCGATCCTGATATCTGACATTATGTATCTATATAATCTATATCTATCTACAGAGAAAGATAGTCTATTCAGATTACATATATAATCTGATATCTGATCAAATAAACATTTAAGGGCCCCTAGGTGGCTCAGTCATTAAGCGTCTGCCTTCAGCTCAGGTCATGATCCCAGGGTCCTGGGATCGAGTCCCACATAGGGCTCCCTGCTCAGCGGGAGTCTGCTTCTCCCTCTCCCGCTACCCTTGCTTGTGCTCTCTCTCTCTCTGTCAAATAAATAAATAAATAAATAAATAAATAAATAAATAAATATTTAACTTCATCAAATGATCTGTGATATGTCTGACATGCTCCAGAACGACATACAGACAATTCCCATGAGGCTCAGAGAAGGCGACTCTTGCCCAGAACTGAATCACTAGCTCCTGGCAGAGCTGCTTCTGAACCCCAGGCCCGTGTTCTCATCCATATGCTCAATGTTCAGGATTTAAAAATGTTTAGGGTAAAAAAATTGTTAAAAAAAAAAAAAGCAGTAGAAAAATGGTAAAAAAAATAAATAAAATAAAATAAAAAAAATACAGTAGGACCAACCAGAAAGCACTGACCGATCTACTCCCAGGGTAGCTTGTCCCCTGTAAGGACCAGGGGTGTGAGAGATACCGTCAGGAGCTCTGGATTGATGATGTGTTCAGGTCGAGGAGAGCCTTTAGCATTAGGAGATGCGAACAGAACTGAACAATCCTATTTACATAAATCTCAGAGGACTTGATTCACAGGTGGCACAGAAATTGGTGAACGTTGCCGACATGGGGTATTCCCATCACTGTTATAAAACTGCTCATGGGAGAGACGCCACTGATAATTGAGTTATCTGGGTGTATCCTCTTTACCCGGAAGAGTGCTGGATATGTTAAGTTTGGTGTTTTTTTAAGTGGTTTAGAAACCATATGCCTACCTTTGCAAAATAATGGGAATAAGAGAAAGGAGGGGACAAAACAAAGAGGAAATAAGAAGGTCAAATATAAAGTGAACACATTTTTTAAAAGAAATAAAAGACTAAAAGATGAAATACACCAAAATGTTATTATCCTTGGGCAGTGAAATGATAGGCTATATTAATTTTCTTTTTGATAAGCTTCTGAAGTTTCCAATTTTTATTTTTTTCTAACTTTTTAAAAATTATGTCTTTATTAAGTATTTCCATTCTTGTTTAAGTAATACACATGCATCAAAAAATGAGGTAGTATGAAAAGACTTCTAATGAAAAATTGCCTCCCTGGCTTCATGCTCCTCAAAGGCATTTACTTTCAGGAATTTTAGTTATTTATTCTAATATTTGTTGTTCAGAATTCAAAATATTATATTCATACTATTATCTCTTAAATAAAAAATTTTCCCCGTTTTACTTATCGTTAAGAGTATGATCCCATGGTTCTAAATTCAAGAGATACAAAGAAGTATGTGGTGGAAGTGTGTGCCTTTCATTCCTCATCTCCAGACAGCCCTCCCTCCCCTTGCCCCCATCAGAACCATTAATATCAATTTCAGTGAATTGAACAGAGACCCTCTAGAAATATCCATGGAGATACAATTAGAGGTGTAGCAAATACACATGTTGGCTGGGTGCCAAAACTGATATCACCAACAGAGAGCAAACTTCTGGGAATAAGAGAGTAAAATATATAATTTTGTCAGTAAAAGTTACATATCAAAACTCTAGTAGTCAAATACTAAATTTTCTATTCTCTGCTGTACTGCATTTTTCTCCTCCCTGTGCTCCTTCACCAACTTCTAGTCTCTGCTAATTCCTACCCACTCCAGATTTCATTTCCTGCTTCCCACCCACCTCCCTCTCCTGAGGGTATCTCCCCCATTGGTCTGTGAGCCATTTGTGGACAAGACTTGGTCTTAATCGTCTTTGTATCTCTTAGAGCCTAGTGTTAGCTTGTGTCCCATTGTAAGCACTCAGGAAATGCTTGTGGAGAGAATGGCGGATGGAATATGAAACGGCTTGCTTTTACGAGCACCGGTGAATGGGTGTTTGCTTTCTTTAACCTAGCAACAGAGCAATGACCAAGTATCAGGTTTAATCTTAGGGTCTGGTTGAGGTCTCCCTCCCCCTCTTTCTTTCTTCTGTAAGACTTGTCACTTAATAGCCTTATTTTGCTCGTTGATTTACTCGTGCATTTAGATTTCTTTCTTTCTAGTCCTCTTACCAAGTCAGATTCCCCCAGGCAGGATGGGCTTTTATCTGCATCACGGAGAGTCCTGCAGAGTCAGGAAAACATATGAGAACAAGGAAGGAAAAATCTGCAGTGGGGCAAGGTTCGGGGGGCAGGGGCTAGAAAAATCTTTTCTTCTGTGGGCACGTTCTGACCTTTCATTCAGCTGGGGGTTCTCCAGGCAGAAAGTGAAAGAGATATTCCTAAGACGTTGGGCATCCAGCTACCATTTTCTATCACCCTGAATGTTAGTCCTCCTCCCAGGATCCCAGAGCTTCCCCCAATGCCCATGTAGAAGCAAAATAGAGGAATTTCATCTGAGATTTATCTAAGTGAGGAGAGTGAGTGACAAGAGCCAGAGCAATGCTGAAACCACATAATTTCTGGAGACTGGAACCCCAAATGAAGAAAGGACTGCAAATCGGTCTCTTGGCTTCAAGAATGAGAATAAATTGAAGTCTTTCCATTAGAACATTCCAGTTACACAAATATCTGAAGATCGTGTTTCAGAAGACTTGAGCAAAATTAATTCACTATGTAAACAACTTTCAAGAGATCTTAGCATTTATAAAGTTTGCTTGGAACTTAGCATTTCGAAAAAGGACTCTTCCAAGACAGAAGTAATCATGTCTTCTTTCAAGGGTTTAAATCCATGCAGGGCCTTCAGTCACTGTGTTAGAAAAAGCAAGGTTAGTTAAGGTTAGAGGAGTTCAAAGGTCACCGATCATGACCCATGGTAAGAAAAAAACAGAAACCCCACTCCACAAATAGAACAAAAGTTTCATAAAATCGCACTAACTTTTACTATGTGCGGTGTGTTCTGATCTTTGCTATTTCATTCTGTTGTGATTTATTTTAAAAATACTGATAGTTCCCTAAAAATAATTAATTTGTCGATCTCAAATGGGTAGTGACCCACAATTTGAGAAACACCAGTTAGAGGATAAATTCAAAAGAAGGCTCTGTTTCAAATCTAGTAAAGGACATTTCACTTCTAGCTATCTTTTAGAATCTTCCCAGTGACCACCAGTGGTAAAAATCTATGGCTGTGGAAAGGAAATTGGTTGAGATAAATGGAATTCCTCATGTGCTGGGCATCAGACATATTCTACCTGAAAATATGCTGCATGAAATACCTTTTTCCCTAGAGAATGAGGTATTCACAAAACAAGCAAAACATGCAGATGTGGATAGATCCTGCTACACTGCTAAATGAGCATATTCCTCTATCCCATTTTAATCATGGAGGAAAATGTTCTTTTTCCCCCTTAAACCTGTTCTTGGTATCAAAGATTGACATTTCAGCTTCTGAACTACCCTGCGTCGTTTGACCATATTACAAGCCACCCTTCATTACCAGTCCTCTTGTAGAGCTCAGTAGGAATAATGAACACCCCACTTCCCTCACTGGGTGTTGAGAACACGCGTATCGCAGAGTCAGTGTGAGTTCTGACTCTGGCCTGTACTGAAGACTTTGTAGGGGACAGTTTAATGATTGGGACATAATCCATTGGACTAGCTGATTTAAGGATTTTGACTTCTTCCAGTAAACTTACAGGGAAAAGCGGATTTTTAAATATATATATATTGGTAAGAGATAATGTACATGAAGATGATTTTTTGGTATATGTATTACAGGTAGAAGCTGGAAACAATACTATAAAAGAAACTGAGATTGAGGGTTAGGATTGGGTTTGAGTAGTTCATTGAAGGGTCAGCCAAGTCCATTATCCTTCTGCCGTTAAAAGCTTGCTCTGTTTTCTACTTCCCATGTTGGCCTGTTTTCACTCAGGCAAACTGAATACTGTCTTGACCCCTTCGTACTAAAATTTACATTACTTAGTTGCTCACAGAAATCTCCTTAGCGTCCCTATCCGTTTGCGAGGATTGCCGTAGCGAAATACCACAGACTGAATGGGGCAAATTAATTTTCTCAGTTTTGGAGACCAGGTGTCTCCGACAAGGTGTGGGCAGGTTTGGCTTTTCCTGAGGCTCCTCGTTGGCCTGTAGATGGCCACCTTCTTGTTGTGTCTTCACATGGGCATTTCCTCAGTGCCCACACAATGCCCACATATCCCGGGTCTCTGTATCCTAATCTCCTTTTCTTCTAAGGACATCGGTCAGATTGGGTTAGGGCCCACCCTAACTTGATTACCTCTTTAAAAACCCTGTCTCTGCAGGCAGTCACGTTCTGAGGCTGGGGACTGAGGAGTTCAGGAGTTCTGAGGACTTCAACATATGAATGTATTGTGGGGCAGGGTGGGGGCACAATTCAGCCCATAACCACCTCTAAAGCTTGCTTCAAGATTGCATGCAGGATGGGGTGCCTGGGTGGCTCAGTCGGTTAAGCGTCTGCCTTAGGCTCTGGCCCTGATCTCAGGGTCCTGGGATCGAGTCCTGCATCGGGGAGTCTGCTTCTCCCTCTGTGCTCGCTCTCCCTCACCCTCTCTCTCTCTCAAATAAATAAAAATAAAATAAAAAACAGAAAAGAATGGATGCGGGACGTGGGGATCAGAAAGCCCACTGCAAAGCTCAACCCTGGGTCAGGTTTCTCAATGGTTGGTTTCTTTTGCTTTAGGGAGAACTAATGCCGACGTGATGACCGCCCTGTCCCAGGGCTACCGGATGCCCCGCATGGAGAACTGCCCAGACGAGCTCTATGACATCATGAAAATGTGCTGGAAGGAAAAGGCCGAAGAGAGGCCAACGTTTGATTACTTGCAGAGCGTCCTGGATGATTTCTACACGGCCACAGAAGGGCAGTATCAGCAGCAGCCTTAACACACAGGAAGGCTCGTGGCCATTGGCTGGGACGGCTGCCTCCTGCCAAAAGAAAACAGGACAATCACCGGCTGCGCTAGGATCTCTTGCACTAGGTCATCACCGCCCCTGCTTCCTGAAAGTGAGGCCAGGCTACTCAGGAAGAACATTCTCGACATGGAAGAAAAGTATTCTCGTTCTCGTTGGCTGATGCTCGCTGGTGGCCGCTTGAGCTGCTCCCAGCTGGGACCCATCTGCAGCCAGCCTTCTGAGAAGAAAACACCTGTTCTGTCCAAGATGCACCCACTCTGGCCTCTTGTTTACAGCTTAATGTGTGACTCTGGGGTTCAGAGGCCATTGCAGTGAATCTCAAATAGTAACAGACTGAAACTCATTTATAAAAGTAAAGTAACCGGATGCATATCGTGACCCTTTTTTGCATTTTCTTTGTGCTTTGGCTTATCTGTTAAAAAAATTACTAATCCAATCTGTTACAGTTTGCAGGTGAAGTCCAAAGTTAAAATGGTCTCTCCCAGATTTCAGTGAGGTCCCCTCCCCCTAAAATCCGAGACTGGTAAACATTTTCCTTCCGTGGAGACTGCTCAGAAACCCCTAGACATGAAGCAGAACAACCGCAATCTTCTGGTCTGGCCCTGTAGAAATGTCCCTGGTGAGCATCAGAGCTGCTGTGTGTCCCAGCGGGGACCCCGCCAATGGCCAGGCCTGGCCCAGACCTCTCAGGACAGGGACAAGGGCCGCAGAAACTGCTTTACCCTAAGAAGGAATATTTCTAACAGTCCAGCTTTTCAATTCCACAATTTCCTATATAGAGACTTTTTTTTGACAGTGTACTTTGGGAGAGTAATAAGATTCTAATCTCTGCAGGGCCTTATGGGGCCTGATAAACATAAGAATTTTCTTTATTGCTTCCAATGATTTGAACGTTATTTTAATGATGAAATGTTAATTTTAGTTGTACTTGAGAAAAGTAAAGACGCCATCTTTGGGTCTATTTTTGTGATTCAGCAATCTTTTCTAAATTGTGTAAGGCGTGTGTGAGACTATTTATACAAGGATATGAAAGCAGAATAAGTGACTGAGGAGGCTCAAAAGAGCCCCCATAGCACAGGATACGAGAGGTTTTGTTTACTAAATTTTTCTACTGTAAGCTTTGAATAGAAAATGCTGTATCACCTCATGTTTCTCATGCTCTTGTGTATATACCTAATATTTCTATTTTTTGATTTTATTTTAATACACCTGGCCCAATAACATCTCGAGTTTTTTCCTTGTGTTTAACATTTCCAATGATCATTAAACTAAAAATGAGTACCGTTTGGGGGGAAATGAGAGGGAATTCCATATAGTTACATCGTTTAAAGAACTTGTACAAGTTCTACCTCCATCTTTTGAGCAAAAAAAAAAAAAAGAAAGAAAATGAAAACCAGGAGTTGACAGCCTGGATGTCCCTTAAGAGAGCCAAATAGGATTTGTTTTCAAATAGGCTTAGCAGGTATCACTAGAATTTCATTTTATGTGTGTTGCCTAGATGTTGGGTACCTAGGAGAAGGGATAAAATATTCTACTGTTCCCTAAGTTTTAACCTGTTTTCCTGTGCGTTTTTTTAAATGTCCTTCCTCAAATATTCTAAAGTTCTTGATTGACAAGTGCCACCCTCACGAAAATGGAGTATTATCCCCATATAATGTCTGCACAGGCTGATGACTTGATTCACAACGCTCAGTCTTCTGCACACACCCACCTGTTCACATTTCATTTCAGAATCACACATATGGCCCGGCATGTTATGCGGAGAGAAAGTGTAAAGAATCCCTAAGACAAAAAGAAGTCTCTAGAAAATTAGTAAGTTTATCTTCCCTTGTTTTTCTTCTCTCGATTGTGCTTCCTTTTGCCTTTTGACATTCAACTTTCCTTCTCAGTCAAGTCTGTGAGCCTTTCCTCTGTCACCTTGGGCCTGTCGCTCCCTTTCAGGATATGCTCCAGCCACGTGATGCTCAAGGGACAGCAAGCTCAGTCTCTTCCCTCGACGGGAGGATTCCAGCTTCCTCATGACTGGCAGGCAGAATGAGGGGCTGGGCAGGTGTTTGTGTCATGATAGGGTCTCCCGTGGAGTGCAGAGTGCCTGATATCATCACCTCCCCGATCATCATCGAGGACTTGAAAGGTAGAATGGCCGCTCCTCTACCCCCTCAGACCTTGCCTTTGTGGTTCTGTGGTGAGGGACTTGTGTCATTACTCGAAGAGCTTCCCTGCTGGATATACTGTGCCCAGGCTTGAAAGTCCCTCCCTCGCTTTGACCCAATATTGCAAAGTTAACTGCGCAAAGGAAGGCCAGCCCTCTCTTTCCCTCAGACGGTCTGGTTGCCCCCGGAGGAGGGAGGATTACAGGAAGAAGGAAAAAGAGAAAAGGTGCCTTTTTCCTTTCTTACGACCATGAAGCTCATGGAATCTGAGGTAAAACTCATAGGCTTGACACGGGTGTCCTCAGGAGAGGGGACACTCCGTAGCCCCTCCTCGCAGACCTCCCTGGGTTCTGTCAGAATCGCACTGGAAAAGCCTACTGCCCAGGCCTTCTCCTAGGGAAGATAGTACACTGCAGAAGCCTCATTCGTGTCCCCAAAGTGTAAAAGAGGCCAATAAAAGAAGGGACCGTATTTATTTACTTACACAGCGGGATAGATCAAGGGCACTAAAATCTAACTATAAACCCATTTTCAACTTTGCCTGTGGTGATGGCTCTCCTTTTATCTTTCCTTTTGCTCGAACAAACTGCGTCATCGGGGCAGTAGCCGCTGAAAGGCGGTCAGCACCGGAACACCAGCCTCTGGTGCGCTGGACCGCACTGAGGCATCGCCGAGCTCGGCAGCCTTCCCGTGGGAACTGCCACCCTCCATGGCCAGTTCCTGTTACGCGTCCTCGGAGGGCATCATGCCACCCACCTCTCCTCTCCGTGTCTTGGTTTTCTACTTCTGCCTGGTTGAATGGAGATTCCAGTTCTCTGTCTGCCACATTTTGACTACCTGAAGTTACTAGGTTAAGGGAAGATGAGCCTTGCCATCCTTCCTGATGGAAATGGTGGTTATAAATACACAAAGCTAACTGTACACCCACCATTTGCTCCGTGCTCTCGTTTGCACTTTGGTGCTTTATGAAACTTAACCTGTAACGCACACCACAACCCTTGAAAGTATGTGGACAGTGTTATGACTATTTCGCGGCTGAAAAATCAGATGTAATTTTAATTTTGGAAGAAAAGTCATGCAAGAATTCAACTCAGCACTCACACCTTTTAAAAAGACAATTTATAGGGGCGCCAGGGTGGCTCAGTTGGTTAAGCGTCTGCCTTCGGCTCTGGTCATGATCCCAGGGTCCTGGGATCAAGCCCCACGTTGGGCTCACTGCTCAGTGGAGTCTGCTTCTCTCTCTCCCTCTCCCCCTGCTTGTGTGCGCTCTCTCTCTCTGTGTCAAATAAATAAATTAATTAATTAAAAATAAATAAATAAAAAGAGACTACACCTTTTTTCCTCTTTTCTTTTCATTTTTTAAAGTAATCTCTATGCCCAACGTGGAGCTCAAACTCACGACCCCGAGATCAAGATCTCATGCTCTATCAACTGAGCCAGCCAGGCGCCCTGAGGCTATACTTTTGAATAAAAACACTTTGATAATATTTATGCTTCATTTTATAACATGAAGTCGTATTAAACGGGTAAAATTTTATTCCGGAGAGTTCTAATGTGACAGATGTATAGGAGGAAAACCTTCCAAATTAATTTCCTATGTTTTATAAATCTAAATACTTCAGGTAGAAGTGAGTGCCAAAAGCATCACCGGGTTCCTAAGATGGCCACCATGTGATTCTGGGGATTTCACTTAATGTGGAAATAATAGGGGCAGTCTTGGTGAGAGCCTCCATCTCTAGGTCCTTGGAAAGATTAGTCAGAAATAATCAGGATTGGGCAGTGTTCAATGTTAGCACAAAACTTCTCGGTCCAAAGGTGGCTTTATTTACAGCACTCAAAGTAGATACCATGTCACAAAACAGAAAAACAATATGCAAATTGTTTTTTTTTTTACACTTATGTAGGGCTTGGACAAAAGTCCTTAATCCCTCATCTGCTACCCTTAAGGTCAGATGTGTTTTTGATTTCAGATTTGATTTTGTTTTTGATTTAAAAATTTAATGCAGTGGGGCGCCTGGGTGTCTCAGTCAGTCAAGCGTCTGCCTTTGGCTCAGGTCATGATCCAGGGTCCTGGGATCGAGCCCCACATTGGATTCCCCACTCAGTAGGGAGTCTGCTTCTCCCTCTACCCCTTCCCCTTGCTCGAGATATCGCTCTCTCTCATGCTCTCCCTCTCTCAAATAAATAAATAAAATCTTAAAAAAAAAAAGGTTAATGCAAAAAAACGTAGTGAATATTTGGCAGTAAACCTTCAATGAACACTGGAGAAGAAACCTTGAATCAAATAAAACATTTCTGCAGAAAAATGCCTAAACTCACACTAAGTGGGATGAATATAGCTTGTAAAGAGCTTCAGGTCAAGTTCTGCCATCAGATGATTTCTAAAGAAAGAAAAACAAACAACAACAACAAAACCCCAAAACTTGGTTTTCAGAGTTTTTTGGACTTTGGAATTGTGGATCGGGGATTGTCTTGTACTCTGAGACCTTGAAGAATGTACAAGACCACAGTGGTATCAGTGGTGGTCTGATTCGCATGGCGGACTTTGGGACTGTGGGTACTCAAAGCCCATTTCCTGCAGCCGTGTTCCAAGATGCAACATAGTTTTGAGTCTCTCTGAAACGACACAGTCATGAAAATAATCTCTGCTCGAATTCACCTCAGGGAGGTCTGATAACTTAGCAGTTCCAAAGAAGAAAAATATCTAGTGGTTTTAGTTGACCACAAGAGCTACCTGTGGTGGTGTGGTGGCTAAAATAGTTAAGGAGTGCAGTAGTGAGTTATATTAGGAGCTCAAAAAGGGCTCCCAACAAAAAAAGATGTTCTTTCTTCATCACAGGCAATTGAGACCATGTGGAAGAGCATTACATTCAATTCCGAACGCCTGATGGTGGATTCTCAAGTCCTAACTGTTCTGGAAAAGTCACTTTGATGTGGGCGATGGGGTATGCATGAAAGAACTGGGAGCACGTCAAGGGTGGAAGTCTTTGGGCAGTCGGGGGCGAGGAGGGGTGTGGGGAGCCATAGCACAGATGTTTTGATGGGAGAGATAAACGGAATCATTTTAAAACATTTGCTCTGTCCAAGAATTATATTTTAAATCCTACTTTGGAAGACATTTTGAAAGGGGCTCATCACTCCTCATCTCTTTTTTGTCAATGTACTTCACCTTAAAGAAGGTGTTCTGTGGGCTAATAGTAGTCATTCAATACAGTGCATTACTGAACACTTCCCTGCGGACAGGGAATGTAGTAGACGTGCAAGGGACACAGACTGTTAGTCTCAAATTGCTTGCTTTATGGGGGCAAGTACAGGGATGATACGGGTAGTCTAAGAAAACTATCTCAAGGGGGGAAAATAGGTTCAAAATAAGAAGAAGATCATTCCAAGGAGAGATGGCAAAGCTGGTTACAGGAACAGGCATGGAGGTAAAGAAAAAAAGGCTTCGTTAAATAAGCGACATTCAAGAGGGGCTTTGCGGGGAGACAGGGTGCTGGCAGGTGGAAAGGAGTCTGCAGGGAGAAGATTCAGATGCAGCAAGGCAAGAGCAATGTGGGAAGCACCGAAGGACAGAGTCCCCCAGACTGGTAGCATTACAGCGCTGATACTCAAACTTGAGATTGCATCAGAATCACCTGGAAGGTTCATTATAACAGATCACTGCCCTCTGCCCCAAGTTTCTGGTTCTGGGGTATAAGTAGGTCTGGGGAAGGACCCAAGAACAGCAGCTGATATTCCTGGCTCTGGACCACCCTCTGAGACCCACTGGAAATGCAGGTTCTCAGCAGCTGGGGAACCCAGAGAACCAGGACAAGGCCACAATGTGGAGAACGTATGGAGTCCCAGGTGGGCATCAGAGCTGCCGTGTGTCTCAGCATGGACCCCGCCGACGGCTAGGCCTGGCCCAGACCTCTCAGGTCCTGGGATCGAGCCCCACGTCTTCATCGGGCTCCCTGCTCAGCAGGAACTCTGCTTCTCCCTCTCCCTCTTAGAGCACGCTGGGGGCTGCCATACACATTCGAGGGAGCCTCACGGAAGGCAGCGCAGCATGGAGCGGGTGGCCCAGAGAC